TGAAGTCGGGCTTATATTTAGTCTTAGAAATAAATGTATATAAATTGAATGTACTAAAAACTAAGAGGTCAAGTCACAGCAAGACTTGTCAAAGAATAAAAAAAAAAAAAAAAAAAAATTATTATTTTTATTAAAAAAACTATCGGTAAAAAAGCCTCGTTTCATCTATATTATATATGTGATCAAGAGGGTATTCAGCATATTTGTTATGCAACAATAGTAAAGATTCAATGATAATATCCTCATTGACAGATAATGCCTCTCCATGAAGCTTTATTTGACGGATTCCATTCCGCTCTTTGAATTTTTGGAGCCACTCAGCTGAAAAATATAGCTTGCTTTCAGAAACACCAAGCTTCTTTGCTAGCAATTTGGTCTTTTTAACTATCATAGCATCGCTTAGAATAGTATGATGCTGATATATCATTATAAATTCCTTGAGTGCTAACTCAAGCTCTAGAACGGTAACAGCTTTATAACACTTAGCTTCTGGACTTGTGACTTCATTTGAAAGTCTTTGGTCTTTAGTTTGCAAGATTCATGTAATTGTTGACTCATTAACTTTAACCCCCATTTGTCTTCAATTCACTTTACATATTCAGGACAGGTTCTCTTGTTATCACGGGCATAAACACAAAATTCAAACTTTTGATTATCTGTTAGAGTTGTTTTTTTAGGCATTTCCAAAAATATATATGAAAATTTTTTTTTTTTTTAAAGAATACTGAAGCTTTATTTATTGAAATTTAAAGATCACTAAAGCATCAGAATCAGTATTAAAATATAGCTTATTTTTTTTTTGATTTTTTTGTTTAATTATTAAAAGGTTCATTGAAAGAGTTAATTAAAAAGGTTATAGATTGAAACGAACCAGATTTTTATAGTTAAAATAAATTTATCGTGCAAGAGTTTAAGATATAAGTTTAATTGATCTGGATTTATTACAGTATATAGTGATTAGACGTCTCTTAAATTGGCATAATGAAAAATCACAGTTTTTGTATAGTGACAGGTTACTTATTTCAAATAAGTATGGTGATGGATTACTCAATTCAGATAAGTATCTATAGCCAGTTTTTTTTTCTTTTTTTTTAAGCAAAAACAAGTAGTTTTGAGAATTAAAATAAAACTTTTTTTTATTCGATTCCTCTTTTATATAGATCCAATACTAAAGTTTATTTGACGATCTTTATTAAAAGATTGTATAATTTCCGGTAGCTTATTTAATTAAACTAATTATATATATTTCATTTTAAATTACTCTATTGTTCTAATTTTATTGTTGACTTTGATTTATACCCGATTTAGTATTTCATATTTATTCGATTTTGATTATCATTATGTATTAGTATCAGGATTAACTATATTGCATGTTGCTCAAATTCTATTGGCCAAGCTGATCTGCAATCATGTGATAGTGCACTTACGGAGGGTACCTTAATAACAAAATCAAATGCACATGCAGAATTTAGAAGGTGTGCACTTAACACTATGGTTCCAGCTTGGGACCAGGCTTTATAATGCATTTATAGAAGGTGTGCACTTATAGAAGTGCACTTATGGAGGTCTGACTGTATATAAATTTAAAGTTTTAGATGTGTGCACACCATATTCGCACTATAGTAAATTTATATAGTAATCTGAGTCACTTTTTACTATAATCATTCTCTGGTTGACTAGTGGATCACCAATTAATTATATTGAATATAATAAATTTACAGACCCTATTGTAATTGGCATTGGAGGTTTTGGAAAGGTTCTTAAGTATGAGTGGAGAGACAAAGAATTAATGGTTGGTTTTAAATGTCTTAAAGTTGATACTGGTATTGATGAAAGAACCATTAATGAATTTATTAATAAGGTATTATTTGTTGAACTCTAAATTTCCGGGTCGGGAGCATCGTGGTTAGAGTTAAGGTTAACTATACTAGTTAGCAAGAGCTATAATAATATTATCAGCTAGACATTTTATATTATATTAAAACTTTAATGACATTTTACTTCTTAAATGCAAATAATTAGTTTAAATTATTACAAAATGTTTCTTGCTACCAAAACATTAATATATTCTATAGAATCACGAAGCAATGAAGTTATCAAATATTTCAAATAATGATACGTACTGTAAGCAAAATATTCATCAAGTCGAATTTGTATACTATAAAAAATTCGGTTGCTGTATTTACAGATTATTGTTTGGCATACCTAGCAAAGAAAAATTTCAAAACCGCCACTGGTAGGTAATTTAGATGAGGTTAAGTTAGTTTGTATTGGATTTTTGTAATTTGTATGGTTATTTACTGTAGAAATTCATTTACTATGCATACAGAACTATTGTGATGAGATACCCGAGCCAAGACTAGGAATAATTTGTAGCCACTAGTAAGTTAATTAGATAAGGTTAAAGTTAGTTTTGAATTGAATTTTTGTGATTTGTATGGTGATTTACTATAAAAATTCATTTACTGTACTTACAGGACGATCGTGATAACATATTTGAGCCAACTGATAAGTAATTTAGATTGGATTTTTGTAATTTGTATGGTGATTTATCGTAAAAAATTCAATTATATACTTACAAAACTATCGTAGACCGGGAAGAATTTGTAGCTACTGGTAAGTGATTTAGATAGGGTTAAAGTTAGTTTTGTGATTTGTATGATGATTTAATGTAAAAAATTCGGTTACTATACTTACAGATGATATGCCTGAGCCAAGGCTGAGATGAATTTGTAACCACTGGAAAGTGGGTTAAGGTTAGTTTTGTATTGGATTTTTGTGATTTGTATACTAAAAAATTTGTTTACTGTATATATAGAACTATTGTGATGACATATTTGAGTAACAGCTAGTAAGTGATTTAGTTAGGGTCAAAGTTAGCTTTGTGTAATTTGTATAGTAATTTACTATAAAAAATTCGTTTATTATATATTTAGAACTATTGTGATGAGATACCTGAATCAAGACTGGGAATAATTTGTAGCTGCTAGTAAGTTAATTAGATAAGGTTAAAGTTAGTTTTGCATTGGATTTTTGTGATTTGTATAGTGATTTACGTAAAAAATTTGCCTACTGTACTTACAGGGCGATCGTGATGACATATTTAAGCCAACTGATAAGTAATTTAGATTGGATTTTTGTAATTTGTGTGGTGATTTACCATAAAAAATTCAATTATATACTTACAAAACTATCGTAGACTAGGAAGAATTTGTAGCCGCTAGTAAGTGATTTAGATAGGGTTAAAGTTAGTTTTGTGATTTGTATAGTGATTTAATGTAAAAAATTCGGTTACTATATTTACAGATGATATGCCTAAGCCAAGGCTGGGATGAATTTGTAACCACTAGTAAGTAGATTAAGGTTAGTTTTGTATCAGATTTTTGTGATTTGTATACTAAAAAATTTGTTTACTGTACATATAGAACTATTGTGATGACATATTTGAGTAGCAGCTAGTAAGTGATTTAGTTAGAGTCAAAGTTAGCTTTGTGTAATTTGTATAGTGATTTACTATAAAAAATTCGTTTATTATATATTTAGAACTATTGTGATGAGATACCCAAGTCAAGACTGGGAATAATTTGTAGCTACTAATAAGTTAATTAGATAAGGTTAAAGTTAGTTTTGCATTAGATTTTTGTGATTTGTATAGTGATTTACGTAAAAAATTTGCTTACTGTACTTACAAGGCGATCGTGATGACATATTTGAGCCAACCGATAAGTAATTTAGATTGAATTTTTGTAATTTGTATGGTGATTTACCATAAAAAATTTAATTATATATTTACAAAACTATCGTAGACCAGGAAGAATTTGTAGCCACTAGTAAGTGATTTAGATAGGGTTAAAGTTAGTTTTGTGATTCGTATAGTGATTTAATGTAAAAAATTCAGTTACTATACTTATCCCTTAAATTGTAACACAGGCAAATTTGCCTGTGTTTTTATTAAAAAGTTTAATTTTTTTAATAAAA